GCCGAAACTAATCACGGTTTCAATAAGGACGAGCCTACTCAGTGAGTCTAAGCTGAGTAAAAGTATACTTAGGTTTTGAACTAGTTTTAGAAAACTCTAGAGTGGCGAAATGCACGCCGAATGGGTCAATCCAAATAGACTACAATGAAAGAACTAGAAGCACGTTAGTATCATTGTCAAACTCTTTCCTGAATACCACTCAAACGCAACCTGAAGCTGTCGCGGGCATCGCGATTTAATTAACAACTTACCCATGTGCTGTAAGCCTCTACAACTTTACCATAACTTCAGCGGTGTGTATTGGTCTCAAATTCAGGCAAACACTCGCATGCAAATGAACTTGGTCGCAGTCAAGTTGCGGCAGAATGTTTGTTGTGCAGCACAAGCATCATCTGGGTGCGTTCCCAATTAATGCGGTCCTTTCGTGGGAGTTCCTCTCCAATGGTGCCACCTTTTACGCCACTTGATGTCGGTGGTCATGGTTGCAGAAATGTCATGACGGCCTTTCAACCACCTTCATTGCATCGATGTGTGTGGAATTTCGACGCAGAAGCCCCAACTCTGTGCTGGTGTGGCCTTTGTCCCCAGCTTGTCTAAAAAAAATATTTCATTAAATACCACTGACTTAGGATTCCCCAGTTAATTTTGGAATGTGGTATGTTGCGAAGAGGCGAGGTGATTCATTCAGAGTTCTGCACACTAGCTTTGACTTCAACATTCATTCAGTAAAATTATTGGGTTGTATCGTCAATGTTTGCTTGGCCGATTGAAGTACAAAATATCAGTTGCTGCACTAACCACTGGTATGTGATCTTCCTGGCTGTTATGGGGGAAGCCATTCAAGCTTCTAAAATTCCATGAAGTTTACAGCACTTAAGCATTCAGACAAAAGTGACAACAAGACGGTAAAAGTGTTTTCACTTATTGAACTTTCTGCCTGAACACGTAGTAGATATCACTGCTTCCAGTAATGCGAGAAGTTAAACGTACTTCAGCGGTCAGTAAGCTACTGAATTTGAACGCAGTTCAATTCGAACAATGCAATTTTTATGCGAGCTCATTTAGTTCAAAATAGACCAGTGCGTTGGAAAAATAAATTCATGACTACAGGATTAGGGTGTAAGAGGTATTTTATAATGCTCCCGTAAATTAAGCTCCGACACTTTTGGTCTTGGTTCGCATGACCCAATAGGATTCACAAATTCAAGTTGCGAAGTTAAGCATGCCCATTTAAAGCACGTTTTGCGAAAACTTGCAGTAGCTGAGGAGCCCATCCACCACTAACTTCTGTGTTGTCTATAAACCCTTATCATAGTCGAATACCAGCTTCACTAAAGAGCTGGCATACTCTTTCATGCAAAAGTTGTTAAGCACAAAATTTAAATTCACCTTTGTTTGCAGGCGAACTCCCACCTTTTTGTATTTGTTGAAAAAAACAAAATAACTCGCTGAACCCTTCCCATTTTATAGCAATATATGTCCTTTCACCACCACTATGTGTCAATTAACCCGCAACAATGTAGCCATGGCTACTGTTTATTGGTGCATGAAGGGAGCCGGCGTGTGTGCGCGTGCACGTGTGCGTGTGTGTATTTAGTTGTACCACAATGGCAATGAAAAGCCGCAAAATGAGGTGTAACAATACTGCTACACGCTGAACAACAAAAACACCTCAGGGGGAGGGAAAACAATAGACTCACTGTGGCCCGTACCATGCATTATCAAAAATCCAGCAACCGTCGCTATTTTCAATCTCATTGGCCGGAGCATTGAGACTTATGTTTTCAGGCGCTGTAGCCAGCATACACTTCTTCAGCCCCCTTTGATAGAAGAAAATGTTAACTGAAGAATTGAAGTACGTTAAACACCTGGTCTTTTTAGCCACTGACTGATGCGCAAGTTTGGATAATGAGAAAGTCCCGTTGCAGGAAGTGTTAAGCATCTATTGAATCATATGGCCTCCTGGTTATGATCTACACGAACTATTGGGTTAAAAAGTGGCTTTTAGAGGTTTGTCATAGCCTAACTTACAAGCTCGGGACGTTCTATCCGCAGCTCTGATAATATTTGATGCCGCCAAATTTAATATAATTTAGGCGTATAATTGAACTTTGATAAGCATCGATATACCAGTATTCCTATGTGGCCTTAGCACCGATGCTGAGCTTGTTTAGGAGTAAAATGGCTCCACAAAAAATATTTCGGCTGTGGCTCAAAGTTTTCTTCAGGGGACTTACGTCTAACAAATAAACCAAGTTCGAACCTTTCCCCTGACTTCTATGGCGACGTTTCTATGGCCCATGGCAAACAGCGAGGGAGTTAGCAAATAGACCAAGCTCTTAATCGAAACTTTCAAAAATTATATAAAGAAAGCAAAATGGAATGCGAGTCCTTTATAAGCCCGCCTACCAAACAAAGCGCAGCCCTTTTGAGTAAATTGTTGCAGGAGGAAATATTTGAATGAAATGTGAAAACGTGGCATGAAAAGGACGATGCGTTTAAGGAAAGCAGCCGTAACCAGACCAGCGAAAACCAATGCAATGCGAAAGTGAATTTGTCATGAACATGGAGCATTAGGTAATTTGGAATTGCTGCCATACTTGGGTACTTTCCACACACAGGCTTACAAAGACGTTATTGTACCTGCTTAAAAAAGGACACTCTTCATCATAGCAACATAAGGTGGGATGAAGTAAAAGTTATGCGATGCAAAGGTTCAATGTGACTGATTTGTATCCACAAACTCTCATATTAATCGAACACCAGTTGAGAAAGCCACTCAATCTTTGAAAAGGGCAATTTTTCAAAACACTAGTCGAGACAGGCATGTCGACCGAGAAGCATCGGGCCTCTAGTAGCCCACGTTTTAAGCAGGAGACAAGGTGTAATGCACTTAAATAAGAAGAATACGAGGTTTTGTAAAAGTAAAGGGATTTCACGAAAGTGAGTCACCTCATCAAAGGCCAAAATTATACCAGGAATCGTCTCTGCCAGGAAAAATTTTGGTGAGAGCTGAGTGGAACAGCAAAGGATTAACTAAAGAGGTTAGTCTGAGGAGGATTACTTGGGTGTAGCTCAGCGGTTCACTCTTTGACCTCATTTCCTTTCATGGATTTATGTACCTATAAATTCACACGCAGTTGATTAAAACGAAATTTAGCTCCTACGGATGGTCATTTTCTTATTGCTAATTATGCTCTTAAAACATGGAGAACAGCGTGAATCAACTATGCCGTTTACTTTTGAACGATGAAAACATCGTAAAAATGCGATAATTTCATACCCACACAATGTATAAACGAGATAAATTTGGTGAACCTCAGACCGTCTACTTTCGTTTCGGGAGCCTGTTGAAAACAATTTCTGGTAACCAGAGCTACTTGCCTCTAGTGAGGTCAAGAATAAATATTCAGTGAGGTATTATCTCGTTGCCTGGCCGAAGAGTTCGTTAGGTCTGCCATGGGTTTGGCATGCCTCTTAGTGGCGATGTCTACATTATCCGGGAGAAAAGTTTGCCGCTTTTGCATTAACCGAAGTGGAGCTGTCATTTACCGTTGCTCCGCCCATGCTACAAACCCCTCCGCGCGTCTAAAATGCAAAGTCGGGGCATTAGTAAGCGATTTTTGTTGCATTCTTTCAGAGCTCCAGTTCTACCAGACTCTCATTTACTGACCTTAGTTTGGGCCATTAGCTTGACTACAAAAGCGCAATGCTAATGGTTAAGGTCCTGCATCTTCCCATTTGGTCAGTTATCGCAGTTGTTTTGTGGGGGCAAGGCCATATTGCGAGGCACTGTGTGCATATACGACGCTTTTTCAAATTCAACGCCAAAAGGGGATAGAAAGGCGCGACAGCTGTTGCAGCCCCTTAACAAATTCTCAATCGTTATGTGTGAAATGGATATTCTGGAGGCGCCTGTGTGTGAATGTGGATTCGCTTGAGATTTCCCATATTCTTCGCCTAGGGCATTTCGATGTCATATCATCAGCTGTTAAATCCACAAGTGGAAAGAATCGGGGATGGGATTTATCCTGTGCTCATGTGGAGAGTTATTTTGAGACGAAATCGCGTCGTAAAAGGCTCTCTTATTAATAGGGCAATGAAGATTACTACACTCTGTCAATCTGTGTGTGATGTACAAGGGGACCTTATATTTATTTTAGGAAGAAATAATGATGATGCATCCCCGGGACTTTTGTGAAAAATAGCACACAGGATGTGGTAAAATTATTTGGTCCTTGTAAGTCTCGTTCATTTAGATGGGACAGTAATTGATCAAGCCGAAATTGTCTTCCGGATGCCTTTCGGTCATGGAATGCTCCTCTGGAAGCCAATATAACGCAATGAGTTTCTGTGAAGATCAAAATGGCTTGTTTAAAGTTCATTATCTCTACTTCATAAAGCGAGTACGTTTACATTATAGTAAAGCGCACTACTCTAGGCCACATCACAGTTCAAGCGAGTGATTGCCAGCAATAGGCAGTGGCTTGGCATATTTTATTTATTTAAATTCAGATTAATGGCTCCGTAGCTATTTTTCTGGCAGATGAGCATGTTTTGGAGATATGTTATGAGGGGACCTAAAATCATATCAAGTACCTTCGACAATGTTGTATATCCAGTAGAGACATTCTAGATCCTGCTGTTTTTAAATGTAACCGTTAGCCATTCTGAGCCACTTTCATTTGTGATTGGGTTGTCCCCCATTCAGACAGCAATGTCCCTTAATCGTCACATCCCCTTATTTAGTTTTCTCCAATCCAAGTTTGTCCCCTACGAAGCTCTGGTTCGGCTGCAGGCACCCTCCACTCGCACCACATAGACAGCGAGTTCTAAGTTTAAAAAAACCGAAACCGTTGCTACGGCCCACTGATGGTCACATGCGAACGGGTTCAAGTGGAGGCCAGAACAATGCGACAGCCCACTAAAAGATAACATCTGCCAATAATTTGAGACACCTCCGACTGCTCCATCACCATGAGTAGTGAAGTACGCCAAGCCTATAGACTCCCAGGACCCCTCCGCACGATTTCGTCGCCACCTCGACAGGGGCAAAGGCATGTAGGCTTAAAACTCGTCTCTACGGTAACAGCCGAATTCAGGTAGATCGTAATCGGGAACAGCGGAAAGTGAGGAGAGATGTCGGAAGGGGTGCCTGAGTGGCCACTGACTAATCCCGTGCACGCAATTATGTACTGGTCGGTCACGGGAGGCCGGTGAGCATGCAGTGGAAGAGCCCATCTCTGCTCGCCCATCGAAAACACGAAAATAATGTTCGGGACAGTTAGGGGAGTCGAAAAGGCTGCAACTAGTTGAAAAACAGTGAGCACCTTGTAACTATTTTTGTTGTCGTTTGATAAATTAATGTGATTAGGTTGAAGGAGTAAAAACCTGTAATTATCTAGTATTTTTTTGAATAGAAATGAATTAAGTACTCAATTTAATGCACTCAAATCCAGTTCTCTGTGATCTCCAAAAGTCGAATGTAGTTGTTTGCTAGACTCCTAAAAGCGCGTGGGATTACTCTGCTCAGGTAAAAATAGTTCTAGGTTTGCATGAAGGATTGATCGAAGAACACGGGAAGACCAATGCCATTTACACAGCTGAATGTATTAGAAGGTTAAAATAATAGTTGTTTGGTAGATATTCGCCCTTTTGCCCTACCGCCAAATGTGCAAATTTGGCTCAATCTTCGCTCTAGATAGACCATAGAAATAGAACTTTTGCTGTTTGGGATCGAAGCATGAGTGAAAGTAAACTTTGCTAAACATGCATTCTGAATGCTTGAGGGGATAGCCGGTGGATTTACCTGTCAGTTTTAGTCCCAAATCAGTGATCTGGGATATCAAGGCATCGCAAAGTCATTGACACTGAAGGGTTAGGCAAATGGGCGATTCCAAAGACTTGGCCATACTTTGTAATTTGACAGTGCTCCTAACCTCCTGAAAAGACCAGACCATTCTGGAACTTTTTCGACTAATTTTCTATTCCCTGGTTTATATATTTTGACTAGGAGCTCAAACTAATGATGTGCTTACTCATTCTTTACTGGCACGAAACATCTCAAAACAGAGTGTAGTAACTGGGGCCTCTCCGCACCTGCGTTCAACTCGACGATATCAAGTTGAGTGCGCGAAGACGGGGGGCGCCTCACGAGGGGTTCGCAAGATGCAGTACTGAGACAACTACGCATTAATGTGATTAAAATCCTCTCACCTATGGCGCCATAAATCAGGTGTTTTTTGTGCCAAGTCTTATCAGCGCGAAAAAGTAGTTCCCCACCCGGATACAGAGATTAGTGGTACTATGCGACTGTGATGACGACCTTTTCCGCGGCTTCTATTAAAGCTCTCACAACCCTCGCTGTCGCGCGCACGGAGGGGAAATGGTCAATTAATTGCAAAGGTTAGAGGGGAAGGTGTGTGTGTGACATTTCGGGGACTCGCTTGAGGTGATTGTTTTTGTTACGCGCGTGTTTGCGCACGCATGGCTCAGGATGCTGCAGAACCACAGTCAAAAGTTACGCTAAATGTCAGTGCTGGGGAGTGGGTATTCAGGAAAGGTAATTAATACCTTGCGACAACACCGTCTGCTGTTCAAATATTCCCTTCATCAGCAGTCAGTGGACGACAAGGAACTTCGGCTGCTCTGTTTGGTGCCGGTCTTCAGAAGTCTGGGTGCAATATCTGAGAATACATTTCTTCGAAAAATTTCCGGTCCAATTTCAGATGTAATAATCAACGTTGGTAGTACCAAGTTATCTAAATATCTTGTATTAACCAAACATAAGTCTGTGGGAAATGGTGTTTAAGGGTATTCCAAGATAATTACTGAATGTACTTTGGTTGGCTTTATGGACGTATGGCATATCAATCTCTCATCGTCCTGGTGGTTATGCAAAAATGCAACATTTGCATGCTGAATCGGTGGATCAAGAAGAGCTGATGGTGCAACAAATTGGTTATTAATTCTACATTTTGGCAAAATCAACCAGCAGAGGAGTCGACACAGCAATAGTGATGGGACGTTGTTTCATTTCTGTTTAAAAATGATCGCTTTGGCAATATGAAATGACTGTCTCATTCTCTCTAGACATAGGATCTGGAGCCCCCCTTTCGCCTTACATGGGCAAATTCATACCCGATGGAATTCTAACCTCAACGATTGACTTTCACGATATTTCAATAGGAGTCATTTCAATTTCGTGTAAAACGGCAGAAGTACATAAGCCAAAACGAGTTTCAAATGTCGTGAAATTGTGCGGAAATTGAATGTTGAGATGAAGGAATGTTCCTACGATTTTTCCATCTAAATCTAAATATCAAGGAGACGATTAGTCCCATTCGCCAATTTTACGCGTCCAGCACTTAACTAAAACAGGTCGCGTAGCTTTGAATTTTGAGTTGCGTGATTTGGCGTCAATTGCTAGCGTCCAGATCCGCCCTTCTACTGCTATTTTGAATTAATTGATTTTTGAAATCAGGATTCTCGGCACCGGGTATGAGATTAATACTGGATCTGTAGTGAGATCTGGTCATTCATACCGGCGTGTCGATCTGATCTTGGGTAGTGAGGAGAATTTTTAAAACATTGTGCTTTGCAACAATTACTTTTCCCTGTCTGGAATGCTGGGTTTTAGACCATATGAGAAAAAAAAATATGATCAGGAAGATTTATAGGGCAACCATCCAATAGCACACCTTGCATAATCCCTGGATTCCCTATAGTAGGGCATAAAGTGAAGCAAATGGAATGAAGTCAACATATCACGTTCTGTATTTCTAATGAAGCATAAGACTGTGCACCTAAGAGGCCTTTTACTAAGCCTATAAAGACGCGCGTAGTAATATTTCGTGTGACAACTGTAAGATTAAAGACTACTGCCATTTATCAAGGAAATCACACTTTAGCCCACCATAAATCCTGTCGTCAAGTCGGCGTGAACAGTTAACTCCTGGGCCCCCATGGGCCACCGTGGAAGGGGGCGGACTAATTGGCCTGCCCAACCCCCCTCCCCCCTCGCACTTCTCCACCGCCTTCAACCCCATTAGGTGGCCACATGTGCGACGTGTCATCAGCGGCGCGTCAATTAACTGTTCCCAGCCCTCCAGCCCAGGGGATAAGTCAAACCAGTTTCCGATAAGCTCCACTTCGTGAACCCACCCATCAGCTACATGTAGCTATCAAACGCCTCAGGTGTGGACCTTGGCACTTAAATTCTGCAGTGAGATAGATCCACCCCTCCCCCACCACTTTACACACCCCCCAACTTCCCTAAAGTGGAATTTTCATCCAATGGTATCGAGGATAGAACCACAATTTGGGGAAGTACACAGAGCTATCCGGTCAACATTGTAGTTGCTCCTTTGGTTATGGCCATGATAGTTGTCAAATCGACACTGGTAATCGATCAACTTTCTACTTCCTATGCAGTATCGGTGACTATGCAGGGTTTTCTTGGGTTTGAAGTCTGGTTTTCAGACTTTAGTGTTTAGTGTTACGTCTGGCGAATGTTGATACACGATTAAGTATCACTGACTCTGATCCTTTAATTTTGGTGCATAAAGGTAGTTGATTTGACGAGTGTTCTTTAAAAGATACCAGGAAACTTTCATAAAGCACGAGAATCCAAAATGGACAATTAACCAAAATGTTATCCATGATTTTATTGGATGACGGAATCAGTGGATGAAACCGACATGTCTTCGGAGATGGTGTCTTTTTGAGACTAGCCTAAGTCGCCCTGCATTCTTTTTGGTTCAAATTAAGATATTTGAATGCGACCTTTTTGTTCAGAATTATGTTATTGAGATGAACGTTTCCCGTAATGTATCGGGGAAATTTTTAAGCTGTTCGTGAACGATTCATGGAATGCCATTTGCCCATAGGCATTTTTGGTTCTGCATTTGCTAATCACCTGGTTATGGTGCATTAAAGTGCTTATGTCTAAATAATTAGGCCCAGTAGGATGGCTAGGTTTGGTACTCGATTGCATCAATGTCACCAAACGTGGGGCCTTGGAAACCAGACCCTCACACAAATCACTCCTTAGCGGTCTCTCCGCCGCCTCTAAATTAGGCCACAATTGAAGTTAGTAGTATTATTTCAAAATCGACAGTTTGAGGTTCCAACTTCTCTCTTCGTCCCCCAGAGAGTAGGTCACTTTTAGTAGGGTTGTTGAGTGAGAAACGACTTTTTTTCCATTCGCTCCTATTTTTTTTACTCAAACCAAGACGACATAACCATGTGACAAGCGCGTTCTCATTGAGACTTGATGGACACTTGATGGAAGATATTGTTGTGTCATCGACATCAAATCCTCCCTGAATAACGCCTAATCTCCCCAAGACTACCACTCATCTCCATCTCATCTCCACTCACGGTATCAATTTATCGCCAAAGTGTATCTCTGGAACGACGATTTGATATGATAGCTTCACATCGTCCAATCATCTTATGGGACTACCAATCACCTCTCTTTCTGAAACACACGACCTACCTCGAAATTATTCAATGGGAAGTAAGGAATGATGTCGCTAACCGAGCCACAATAACTACCTGAATCTCGGCACCAATTTTCAACTGATTCAGTTAGCAAGTAGTGCTAATCAGCAGGCTAATAACCTGGCAAGGTTTCATCCACCAGATGATAAACCTGTTCAATACAATGATGCTCGTATTTGCCGGAGGCAGCTTTGCTGATATAACCGTCCCACTCGTTATAAATGAAACTACGCCTGCCACCTCGACTTTGTGTTTTTTGACGTGTAGTTTAAAAATCCAGGGGAAAGGTAATGGTAACATATCAGCACTCACAATTGGCCATTGTGCACAATTTTCAGGACTAGAAACAATCTGGGAAAACATCACGTAAGTTGATGGGTGCATAAGATGGGTTACCTTAAAAGTCTCTATTAATCGGGATTTGGTGGGTACAGATGTGGCCTGCACAGTGGTGCTGGAATACCTGCTTCATCACTGTTGGGATGCGTACATCCAGCCCAATAAAGGACTCGAATCAGCGATAGGCTACCGCGCAAGTAACGCCCTAACGTCGTGCCTGGAACCAGTCTTTCCGGACGGCTGCACTGTAACATGTTGAGTGGCTAATGTCAACAATTCTACCTAGTCATTTTGCGTATTACCAAGTGTTTCGAAGATATTTCCAGACTTTTTCAGAGAGATATTGAGCTTTCCCTCTACCTGAATGATTTTTACCTGCTACTAAATTTCGGTGGTATTTAACCAATATGTGTGCCTTGAAGTGAAATAATTTGTCCTATTTATTCTAATACCTCATGGAATGCCATTGTTATAATCTAGTTTCGACATTCAAAATTCCGAATGCACAGTCTCACACACTTTTATTATTTTTGACATTTCAGCTAAGCCGCTTAAGGAAAACCTACAAATTATACTGAGTCCTGCACATGTGATATCCTCACTCAAGTAATCAAATTGCTTCAGCGGCTGTAAAGTCTAAAGCAACACTATCCCATCATACATTATTACAACCGAGGACTCAAAAGCCTTCCAAGAGTGTGGCGCAAAACTTTGAAAATGACAATCATATTTAAACACGCATGTAAAAGGCTCTACTTTTCTTGTTTCGTTACGAAATAGCACTTGGTCCGGTCGTGAAGAGCTTCATGGGCTTCACTAAGCGCTTTTCACTAACCCACTAAGACTCTAGTAACACGGGCCAAGGTTACTGAATTCACCTTGTTTGGATACAGGTAGTACAAGGAGTGAATGACCTTATTTTTCCCTACACATTCGGCATCTGTACTAGAGGTGGATTGTTTGCTTCATTGTGTGAACTTTCACGAACGGGGACAAATCGATCATGTGCTAATTCACGATAAGGTCTTGGAAGTAATGGGAATCTGTCTTAAAAGCTTGTGATTTCGGTGGACCACCGCGTCAGTTATCCCGAATTCCTTCACCCAGTGTTCCGTGAGGTGAATACATTTTTAAGGCATTTTGACAATTAGGTAATTACTGTTTGCCTGAAACAGATTGTCTTTCATTTACGGAATATTACTTATGCATTAATAAGTCTATCATGGTCCATTAAGGCCTATGGAGTTGTCTCTCACCGAAACGAACACGCGTTGTGGACGAGATAATAAATGACTTCTTCATTCACCATTTTGCCCCTACCCCCAGTTTGCAGGAACAGTGGCAATTTCCATTTTCGAATGCCTTCATTTGTCTGCCAGGATTTTAACAGACACCGAAAAACTGGTCCTTAAAAAGTGAACATCAAAGTACAAAACGCATAGAATTGGTTTTTAAAACAGCAGCCTTTATGCAAGATACGCAGTTCCATTTGGCAAAATAGTTAAGGAACAGACAAACTGGTTAACTGATTTACTAATGCCTTATTTTTTCGGTCTTCTTCACTTGCACATTCAATGGACATTCCCACTTCATATGAACCGCACAACACGGTTTGGCTTTAAGGAACTCCCATGGTGTCCGACTACATAGTCTGGACTCAGGAGATACTGACGATGGTTCCTGATGGAGGAAGATTTTGGTAGCATTGACACCACAAAGTCATCAGCTAGACTATCTGACATCTTCTCATTGCAATAACCTCACAGCTTGCATTCAGATTCCAATCATCCGTAAGATCTACTAAAAACACCCTCTTATTCAATACTGCCTTCAATTTTCGACAAAGAAACCCATTGTCGCCATTAATCAGAACCAGTGTCAAGTAATCCAGGAAGGACTTATCTATCAACGATGGTGTATTTCACTTCGGATATGTGCTTTCCTTAATAGAAAACCAGGAAGGATGGTACAAAACAACTCATTTCGTCCGTAGCACCGCGACTCATTCGACTTCACTACTCTCTGAAAACCTGGGGTCACATTCTGTCATGTTACCTGCCATCGACATGAATGAGGTGTCCTGAGGAAGTCCAGCACACGGTTGTTGATATCGTGGATTTGTTGCTCAGGTGTAGGTGAGTCACCAAAGTCCCTCAATCTCAACATAGCAACTAGTATTTTCCCCATCTGAACATTATAGAAGTAATGGGGTGTACAGTAATGGAACCAGGTGCATTATCAGTTTCCCAGCGGAATTCGACAAGCGGATCTGGAGATAAATAAAATAGGTGAAGAAGGAAAGCTGAACCAAACCCCAAGCACCTTGCTCCAGCTTTGTCGATTTTAAAATTTAACCCATCCATTCTGCGTGCTTCGCAATTTCAACAAATGAAAATGTTGAATCACAGATTGCAACGCATGTGCCACATCTCTCGCCTTCAAACCCCAGGACAAAATACTTGTGCGATTTCTGCATTTGGGCATATATTTCCTTTCTTCGCAACAAAATTGAAATTCTGAATTCATCTGAAAGAGCCTAGTAACTGAACCATAATGATTCAAGCCTAAGGCGATTTAAACACTTTTCCACATCCAAAACGTTTGCATAACTTTGCTCAATCACTTGGACTACGCTTATTTTGCATAAGAACCAGTTTAAGTATTATTGAAGATCTGCCACTTTGCATTTAAATGCTTGGTATCTTCACGGAAGCCATCCACTTTGATATTTGTGTTTACACAGGTCTACTTTAAATTTATGTTGGAAACAGTCTGTATCGAAATATTTTGCACGAAGGGCATCCTAGTAACCCCCTACAGAATGTATCAGGTCCCAGTTTTTTTCACATTTGAACCAATTTCTCACATTAATCAAGGCATGCATGTTTTTCTCATTTTCCCGTCACCGTGCGCTTACGTACGCTACTCGATCGACCACAGTAATTAAATTAGGCCCTTACTAATGCCCCTAAGGCCCGGATATCCGAACGTGGTCCTCCCACCCCCTCCCGCCCTCACTCCAAGTGGGGGTTGAAAGTTAATATCTTTTCCCAACAGGTCTGGTGTTAATTAGCATTGATTTGATCGGCGGTCCGCGTAAGGAGTGGCGCGTGACGGGGGAAGTGGACGCGTGTGCACTTGCGCGCGCGCGCCGACTTAAGTGTGTGTGAGCGTGCGTGCATGCGCGATGCGAGACAGCTGTGGCGATTTGCGCGAGGTGGCGGGGGGGATCAGCTGTTTAAGATATTAGAAAGCGAGCGCATGTGTAAATTATCAAATTTATCCAAATGCCGCCGTAGGGAATCAGCGGTCCTACACACTCGAACGACAGCTGTCACCACTCCCTACCGAAACGGTCCTTTTGTCCGCATTTGCTTATATACATTCGCCCCATCTATTTACTTCAAGTTCGCACCACATCATTGTTTTCACCTCAATTTACCAACTCACTTGATTTTCAGTTACTAAACCAAACCTAAATTAAGACCGGTGGTGGTAACTGTTCGTCAACTTACCAGCCACCAGTGACAACTTATGCCAATTCCTTCAAATTTGTGAGTACCAATGCCTTGTCGTTCGTTGGGGCAGAAATTTGACTCAAGGACGTTTATGAGTTTAACGTGTTCAAACAGCTGCTTAGCGCTGGTCTGTAGCCATTTTACAGCTCCAACTTACAGATTCTCTGTACTCATGTGTTGCGCTTAGATTGTTGGAGGTATAGAGAGAAATTGTTCGCTCACTCCCTGCCATCTAAAAGCCTGACCTAGTGTGGAAATGAGTTGTCTCTACTGGGGATTCGGGCTTGGTAAAGCGCCCGGATGAGGCACCAGCGTCCTGAAAATATGCTTCCATTCAAGGCAATTCCTTTCACCAAGAGACGGTCTGCTCCCCATCGATTTAGTCTGCGTTATCCCCAATGGACCAAATTTATCATCAAACAGGCTGGGAAAATTTCCACCGAGGCTGTGAACAAACGTGCGACTATGTCAAAAGTCGCAAAGCGCTCCAACGAAAGGAAAGACAAAGTTGTCGTGATTGCGGGTCAAACCGAGTGAGCTGACTTCGAAAGCGAGGTGTGAGGATCGTTTGCGCTAATACTAAACGGCCCTGCAAACGATACCTTAGCCCCACAGTAATTAGGAAGCTTGGGCGTGAGTTGATGACGAGCTTTTTCCTTTCAAAAGTGGTTAGCAAACAGAACTTGGCCACTACTTACCTCTAGAAAATGAAGTACTTCACATCTTCTCCCGGATGGCAAGTCGTATAGGCAAAAGTATATGTGTGGGACCACTGGGCAGGAGTATTTCCAATGTTCTCGTTCAATCCAACGCCCATCATCAATGTTATGCTGCTTAATACCAAATGTAAAAATGACTATTCAAACACGTCTCATAGGAATTAAGAAAAATCCTTGCTTGAGATTGCCTATGTAGAACCGAACACAGCGATACTCAGTTGGATAAGAATTTGGCTAAGAATGTTTAGTTAGGAGTCCTATGGTGATCCATTACATAGGCACCTTTGTTAGTAAATGTAAAAAGCATCAGAGGCAGCAGCAAAAGTCAGACACCATTGATAATGTCCATTGATTTGTGTAAAACCACCACTCCATTGCTTCTCACCGCCAGATTTGCCACTCTGCTTGCAGCCAGATCTCTGTCTTCGTCTCTTACACCCATCTTTTGCGGGATGCTCTGCAATTTCTAAACTTGATGTCGCCTACCGACCTAAGGGAGTCTAAGGGCCGTTTTATTAGTTTAGTTGTATGACACCAATCCTGCACCAACTTTACTTGCATTTATGAGTTGTCAGAATACAGAGGACTTACTGCTCTTCTTCACATTTCTCTGTTTTGTTTTCGTTAAGTTTCATAAGCGTCTCTATCGGCCGATATTCGGATCAGAAATTCGTATTGTCCAAACACACAGACCCTTTACAATGCACCCTAAGATGTGGTCCAAAGATGACCAATTTCTGAATCCATGAAATTTAGCATGAAATACTGATCGTTCAATTAATATATTTTGCAGATGGCTCCCTTATCGTGTGGCCTGCATTAAAGGTGCGTTGGGTCTAACCACCAGTGACCACTTTCAAGTGTGCTAGTTACTGGCGACCTCCAGAGGTCCAGCACATCACCGTCGTGGGTGGCCATTGCGATGTGGCCACAAACGCCGCGGAAGTCCCCTTTACGCCTAAGCGTTGCCATATTATTATTGTTATTTATGAAAATGGGTTGCTATTTTACCCCTAGGTTTGACATTTAAGGGTTTGCTATTACCGCTGTCGTCTCAGCACCCCGTAGTTTATGACGCCCTCTGAACAAAGAGTTTGGTACGAAGCAGTGCCATGAGTCACAAAACAATTTTGCCAGTGGTGTGTTCCAATAAATCGCTGAGGTGTGCAATGGTTCGGAAGGTGCGTCAATGCAAACTGTCACAGCCTGCGTATTATCGTGTCCCACTGGTCGCGGTAAGCAAACTCCCGAAAGGTCATCTCCTTAGGGTGTTTGCCAGGATTAGGCAAAACAGCGTGATCTGATTTAACTTAGCAGGTGCGCACCAGAGTGCCTTAAAACTGATCACGTTGGGATCTTTCACGAAATACAGCCCTCGTCCGTCAATATAGAAGCCGAATGTGATGAGTTTGCGATAATTGTCCCCTCTTAGCGCCTCTTTGGTGACCACTGCCCTTAATTGCTGCGCCTATTTTTCCGCGAGCAGTAATAAACCACGCTGACCGTCAGAAATGTGCCAGTTTCAAGAGACGGCTCGAGGTCCGCTACACAGGCGATTTCTAATGTTCTGTGGAGCGGGTGGTCTGAGTGCCTGTGAAACGCCGTACACGTACCCACACACACACGGAACGGCGTGCTGTCACTTGCCTGAGCCCTAAGGCTCTGTCGTGCCCGTTTGTGCTTGTGTGTTTGTGTGGTGGGCCTCATTTCTAGTACACACACACACACACACGCGGCCTTAGCAAGCACGATCGAATTACCTCAACGGCGACGATGGTGGCGGCGGCGGCAGCGGCTGTGGACCACCCAGAGCTGTGACGTTGTCGTGGTGGCGCTGTTTTCTACTTCATCGGCACTGAGCCTGGTTCACGGTTCCAGTCGCCTGCACATTCCATCTCGACGTCGAGGCAGCCCATATTTGAGACTGACTAAAAAAATGTGGCCTATATTTCCTTGCTGTCTGACCTTCTGAAGACTATGGATATGTTTCGAAATGGGCACTCATTATCGATTTGGTCTTCCAGACCACCAGCATTCCAAGGGCTCCGTCTGGAAGTACATCTTTAGCCAAGTGATCTGTGAATGATTGCTTTAGCGCAGTTTTAAGTAAATGGACACAACAACCCATCAAACATTTTCTTGTCTTCATTAAGGCAGTTATATTATTTATTTTATTCGACAGAGAAAGGGCGACTTAATGCGTCTGATAAGCATCGATAATATCACAAATGCCATTTCATGTACATTTAAAGACCTAATTCCCTGCACTAAAGATATTTTAATTAAATTTGAAGATTGTAAACTAAGTCACTTGTATAAAAGACAAAAGTAGATTTCAAATACTAAATAATAACTTATGTATTCATTGCAATCTCCACATGTCCCTGGGTTTTAATTAGCTTGCAACTTTAGTTCACCAAGCTCCCCAACACTGGAAAGGTTAACATGAAGTTATTTGTCATGAACTTATTCTGCTACTTATTTTGGCTTAGTACTAACTGAATGAGGTTAACCCAATACGTTGACTTGATCCAAGCTATTGAGAGGTTGATCATATTGATTGATTTTAGTAATGAGGCTAAATTTGTTTTGTAGGCAAGTAATTTGCGGAGATGTCTATGGTGGGTTGTTTGTTCTCCTGAAGTATGTTGAAAATTCATGCTTTAGTAAAGGTTGTTGGCGTTCCGGATCTTACCCTATTAGTACATAGGTTGAACACTAAGATAACGCCGATCGGTTCTAGTCAAAGGTGATTTCATGCAATTATCTGTTTATAGAGACCGGGAAAGTGGACTGATTCTATAAACTAAGATGGTTTATTTTAATGGTTTTCGGGGCGGGATTGAAAACCACTCTAATGGTTCTCAAGTAATTATGTTGGTGTAACCAATGTGAGATTGTGCAACTTGGAGATTTCTAAGATGGAGATCGATCAGACATCGAAGCTGAATGGGTTTCCAGTGGTCAAGTGGTTATGCTTAAAAGATGTTGTCGGCCAGTCAAATTGACTCGCAAATGGCCCATTGGCTTCCCCTCCATTTCCATCACTTATGTGTCCCTTACAGATTTTCCCATGTCACTTTACTGCCTTGTAAATGAGATAGCATGCCAAATACGCATGTTTGTGTACCCTTCCGCCTTAGCCCAAGTGTTTGTCCAAGCTGTTTACACAGGCGTCGCTGGCCTTCTGCCGCACAGTAATATGCAAAGCCAATCACATACGCGCACACGCACCAACACACATACCATATGGTGCGCGCTTTAATAGCCACCACCACTACCACTAACAAAGGGGAAAAATTGAGTAGAAGCATTGCCGGGGTCTAGTCCGCCCCCTCCCACAAAGTGGTATGAAGTCAAGGGGACGAGGTGGTCGTTTTTTCTCCAGCAGACATATGGTCACTTAAGGCAAAGGGGCGGTTAAATTTGATTGTCTTAAATCGGCGATCTCGTTCATACATCCTACGAGGTCCTAGTGGATGGGAAAAAAGACATGGATGGCGACGACACCGGATCTACCTGTCAGTGTTTGTCACTCAACATGTTACAAAGCCAGTCGGATTGCCACTCTCGAGCACTGAGGTCAGTGTCGGCTGTCAGCGGAACAAGCTCCTGATCGCTGCAATCTGACTCAATGCCTTAGTGAACTTGCATGTTGTAATCGCCAACACTGTCTCTGACATGATTTCAAGTCTACCACCTCCATTGTGGAAGATCTGACGCGCAGCCAAGACTGGAGTTTCGTTTGTGCTCGATTGGTCATCAAGCCTTCTGATCCACCTATCTAAATTCGAAGTTGAAGAATTCCAAAAGTTAAAAATTTAGTCACCTGTAAAACCAGCTTAGGGAAACTCATCCGAACACAGCGTGTTGGTTCAGTCCAAACAGGGTCATTCGCGAAAGGGATAGTCGTCAAAGCAAGGTCCTGTCAGCTTTAATTGGCCTTGAAAAAAGTAGACGGCACGAATAATAATGTCGGCTCAGTTAAATCGCCACGAAACCTATTCAAAAAGTCCCGTTTAGCACATCACTAAGACTTTAATTTTGGGCGCACTACAGCCTACGAAAATTAAGTGCCACCCAAGTTTATTTTTAAATTACAAACACACACACTGTGTGTTTCCTAGATTTTATTTCTTAAACTAGGGTATTTCAACAATGGCAGAGGTCAACATGCACTGTCCTTTTTGTAGATGTAATAAACTGACAGATAAAGAGGGTTCTTTGAATTGTCTAATCAGCAATATTAAAGTGGTGTTAAGATTAGTAACTAAATCCTACTGTGGAAGTGCTCAAAGTAATCGTTGAAATGCACATTAGTTTTTTTCTAGTATCCGATGTTAGATTCATTTCTAGTTTGTGGAGTAAATTAGGATTTATGATTCGGCAAATTCCGATGCTTTTTTCAGTTCGAGGGACGTTTCCTGATTTTGAAATGCAACTACGACCCGGTGTACTAGGCACATTCTGCTTTGGCTTATGCATTGGCACATCCAGGTGATTGCACGCAAGTGTTAGTAGTATAAATTACTGTGATGACAAGCCCCGTGAAAATTCTGGTAACCGTTGCGAGTACACAACCCTCAATGCCAGCATGCTGTGATTAACAGTGCATTGCCTACTGCGGCGATCTTGAATATGTCCGTTAAATGGACTGCACAATGGTTGTTTATTCGATACCAGAGTGAGAGGCCACAGTCGACCTGGTTCATGCGGGTGCATCGTCATCAAAAACAACCACCTAGATTTCAGGTGTAGGTTTGAGGTTTCGTAAAGATTCGCTTTTTAATTTGGTTTGAATTGACTTTAGTTTTTATG